TATTGTTGATAGAATCTTCATATTTATTAAGAACCATCTGGATGGAGGCTCTGCCCTTCCTCCTTGAGCACTTCTTTTAGTTTATGTTCACTTTTGGTGATAGTGCAGATATGTCATCACCCAAGTTGATGAATGCATTGAACAACAGAAAGGACTATGATCCAAATGCTCTAGAGCATCCCTAGAAATAATTTCCGGCTCTTCAGGTCCAGCACACAGATCCCTCTAGTGTACCAGTCTTGCTTCTCAGACTAAAGCCAAAACATGGCTTTGTACCAGCTACTAGGAAGAAAAATAACCCTGTCCCAGTTGAAACCAGGACAACCAGTCTCTTGCTCCCGGAGCATGTACCTAAACTCATTTGTTCAGTCTGTCTTACATAGACCAGGTGTCCTGGGTTCAGCAGTAGCAGTCATTTTTCTCCTTCTGGGTAGCTGGTGCAGTGCAGTGTTTTGACTTTCAGCTCGGGAACAGAGCTGATAACAATGATGTTTTGATTTGGCCAAGGACTTTGTGAGCCTCATGCTCTGCCAGGGAGGAGGGGAAGCCAGGAGGAAGCAGAGACAGGACACCTGACCCAAACTGACCAAAGAGGTATTCCATACCACAGCACGTCATGCCCAGGAGGTAACTGGGAGTTAGCCGGAAGGGCTGGGAGTCTGCAGGGTTGGAGGAGCTATCAGTCGGTGCTTGGTTGGGCCGTGTGTGTGAGTTATCGGTTGGCTGGTGGTGAGGTGATGTATTCTCTTCCCTTGCTATTTCCTTTATCATTATTATTATTGGTGGTAGCAGTAGTGATTTGTGTTATACCTTAGTTATTAAACTGTTCTTATCTCAACTCGTAGGAGTTGCATTCTTTTTGACTCTCCATCCCTCCAGGAGTAGGGGGAGGTCAAGAAGGGAGGGGAAGTGAGTGAACAAGTTGTCTGGTTTGGTTTAAACCACGACACCAGGCTTGTAAGAAGAAGGCTGTCTTGATTTGGTATTTGATTGCATATGTTTCATGCAGTCTGTGAACTTCACTTTATTCCTTCTGAGAGGAGCTGTGGAAGAGCTGTGCCAACACAGTGTTATGGGTACTACCACTCTGGCCTGACAGTATCTCAGTTGTTCACTTCTGTTCAAATGCGGCATCTCCAGCCACTGCTCCTCTGGGAATCTCTCCCAGGTATGATGTATTTCCTATACCTAATCCAAGCAATGATGCTCGGTTACACACTTGGCAACAGGGCTGTTTCTGTGACAGGCCACATGTTATCGCCTCAGCTATTGCATCAGCTACAGACTGGTGCTAGGGGAAAAAAAAGAACTGAAAGCTTGCATAAGAAAGCAGTGGAAACACATTACTTAGAACACACTTGGACGGACAGTCTAGCTCTTGCAAAGAGCAACGGGGATTTATACTGCGGGTCTGAGAGAGAACAGTCCTTCCAGCAAATAGGCTGGTGATAAGGCAAAGAGGTAACACACTTCCTGTGGATCTGGGTGCACACCCAGCCAAGATGAGACTCGCACTGCACCAAGAACTGAATTCCCAGGGATTTTCTCTGCATCTCCAGAGCAGACTTCCTGAAGACAGGGCAGACATTTATGAATATCATCACTGTCCAGCAGATGCGCTTGGCTGCTAGGAGATGACAGCTTCTTGTAAACATGCGTTCATTCTCAATATGCTCTACCTTACCCTCAGGTCAAGCGTTTCCTCAAAAAGCCTTTCCAAACCTTGGTACAAAGGTTGCTTTCTTTCATTTAACATAACCACAAATTCAGGAAAAGAGTGTATTTTATGGACACTATCAGGAGAAGAAACTTCAAGCCTGAGTAAACCTAACCTAATTCTAACCACAGACAGCATGGAATCATATGGATCAATAGTTTATTTAAATAATCAAGTCAAAGGCTTTTTTTTGTTGTGGTTTTCTTTTTTGTGTGTGTTTTTTTTTTTTTTTTAATTAAGCATCAGCTGAGAGCCAACTGCATGACAAGTGCAAACCCACAGAGCTTTCAGGGGAAAAGAATAAGTTTTGAATGAACACACTTATTTCAGACATCACACGTTTCTACTCAGGTGTAAGCTTAGCTTCTCAAATCAAATTAATAGGGTCTTATTTCATATGGACATTTGCTTTTGCCTAATCCTTGACTAACTCAAGGAGAATGCAGCAAATACAAGAACTTTAGGCTCCTATTTCAAACTAGCCCTTACATCTGGTTTCCAGAGTTGATCAAGAATTACAGTACATTGGTAAACAAGGAATAACTGACAAAAAGCTGCTTTGCTTTCTCTCTCTCCTAAAATGCATTCTGCTGAAGTATGCAGATTCCCCCTGTCCAGGATTAAGCCGTGTGAAGTACATTCAGAAGGGCTTCATGAGATTAGTTAAACTAAATGGATAGCATATAACATTCTTATGTTCATCAGACAGCACAGCTAACAAACAAACACAACAAACAGCCGTAAACATTTTGAGGCCAATCAAATTGCAGTCCAAAGGTCTTCCTTAGAAATAATAAATACATAACTGTCGTGGTTTAAACCCAGTCAGGTAATTCGTTCGCTCACTTCCCCCCCTTTCTTGCCCTCCCCCTGCTCCCGGAGGGACAGAGAGGAGAATTGAAAAGAATGCAACTCCCACGGGTTGAGATAAGAACAGTTTAGTAACTAAGGTACAACACAAATCACTACTGCTACCACCAATGATAATAATGATAAAGGAAATAACAAGGGAAGAGAATACATCACCTCAGCACCAGCCGACCGATAACTCCTCCAACCCTGCAGTCTCTCAGCCCTTCCGGCTAACTCCCCGTTACCTCCCGGGCATGACGTGCTGTGGTATGGAATACCTCTTTGGTCAGTTTGGGTCAGGTGTCCTGTCTCTGCTTCCTCCTGGCTTCCCCTCCTCCCTGGCAGAGCATGAGGCTCACAAAGTCCTTGGCCAAACCAAAACATCCTTGTTATCAGCTCTGTTCCCGAGCTGAAAGTCAAAACACTGCACTGCACCAGCTACCAAGAAGGAGAAAAATGACTGCTACTGCTGAAACCAGGACAATAACATAACTCACATGGGAAATATAAACTGAACCTTCAAAAACTCTCCAAAAAGATGCCTTTGAATTTTCATTTGTCAAGTAAAATACAAAGGCAACATCCATGCAATTAAAAGCAAACATAAAACCACGTTTGAATATAATGGAATATAACCTAACCTCAGCAAGGTTTATGGAAAGACTTTCTCTATTTCTACCAGCATTAGGACAAGATGACTGGAAACCAAAAACCTAGATCTCAAAACATTGAAGATCTTCAGGAAGATTTCAGCTACTGGCTTAATCAAATGCATATTCAGAACACTTGCTACATTATACTCAATTAAACCTCAGTTTCAAAAGTGCCCTTAGCATCTTTGCGAGCTCCTCCTATAATAACATACAAAGCAGATATAACAGCTTAATCACTGCACCAAACACCAAGGGTGTCCTACAATTGCAAGCGTACACAAATTTCTGCCCCTTAATTTAGTTGAGATATCTAACACGGTTCACTAAAACATCCTATTCATTATGGCTAATCTTGAAAAGAAGACAGAATAAGCTCCTACCCTAATCACAGGAAGAAAGAAATCAATGCATTGTCAGCTTCATAATTAACATTACAAACTTTCATCACTGCTTTCATCACAACAACATATTGGGACTAGTATTTCCCATAATTGGGTGGATGCCCATCCTTGGGAATGTGAGGGCTGGGTGGGGCTTGGATCAACCTGGTTTAGTGGAAGGTGTCCCTGTCCGTGGCAGGGGGATTGGAATTAGATTATCTTCAAGGTCCCTTCCAACCCAAAACATTGTATGATTCTATTTTTTTTTCTGAGAAATTAGTCAACTAGAATAAACAGATTTATCCCAATGTGAAATAAAAACTCCCAGCTGGTCTGTAAGATACTAAAAACTTCCAAACAATATGTCACTTCCTGTGGCTCCCTTCAGAAATGCTATTTAAGAAAAGAAAAATAGGAACACTTGCATGAAAAAAGGACCTTTGCATCCAACAGCCTCATCTTCCCCCACTGATTAATTTTTTCTGAGGGCAGGAGCTGCCAATAGAAAAGGAAAGCATACAATCACAACTTAAGTGGGCACAAGAGTGACTTTTACCTCATAATGAGAAAAAGAGGACCTGCTGTACAAATCCAGGAAATGCACGCTTGATCTGCATAAAGATGTGTGTCGACTGAGTGAAATAGTCATAAATTAGGAACACATGGCCCCACCCAAAAAATTTACAGACTGCACAGCCAACAAATAGGAAATGGATGAAGATTGTATGAGGAAAATACAGCCACATAATTAATGCCTGGACAAGCAATTCGAACAGTCCAAAGTGCTCCAACAATGCCACTTTTAACCACCTCTTCATGTGACAGAGAAAGAAAGGATGCTACCAAGAAGAGCATTTCAAGGCTCACAGGTACCATAAAGTGTCTCATTTTGGTCCAAAAAAAAAAAAATAAAATTCCATGCGAGAAGTGAGAAAGGAAAGAAGGAATCTACACAAAGATGTAGCTTTGCACCTTCCTTGTCCAACAGAGGGAAAACCAGGAACTCTGAATCTGATCAAGGGGAAAAAAAGGCCATAAGCAAACTGACCAACTTTTTTTTAGCGAACTAACACAATGTCATTCTTTCCGTCATCCCTATCATGTACACAGATGAAAGCCTTGACATTGTCAAGCTGAGCACTACACACTAACTCCCATTGCTCACAGTTTCATCTTTCCACATGACAGTACAAACCATCTATATTCAATAGTGAGGTCCAGAGCAGTATTTCTAGATAACAAGGCACATGCAGGTACACGAAAAGCCTCCACAGTATTTAGTGTTGACTGAGCATCTTCTGAAACATGGTTTTGTGTGCTAAAGAACATTCCTGTTTCACAGCAGCTGTAATATCCATGTGAACTGCCATGATCACATGTTCAGTTGTCTTTTCTTACCAGTCATGATTCTCTGGGCTTCATATGGTTCCATATAGCCAGTATTCTCCCCTTTTCCAATTCTGTTCAACTCACTTTTGGCATCATATGGATCTGAATAGTCATCAGCTATCAATACCTGAAAGACAGGAAAGTAACTGTTATTAGAATCTCCAGTCAGATGGCATTAACACCTTACCAGGAAAAAAAACAACCCAGTTTCACACAGCTACATGCTACGCCATCTTCTAAGCACAGTCTGAGTTCAGAGGACAAATATACAGCTGCTACAAATCAGTTATTAAATGGTGTTGAAGTAGAAGTGTACTCCATACCAGAAACCTCACGAGGCAGACTCTATGTCAAAGGGTTTCTGACTAGCACAAGATATGGAATAACTGGGATGCACAAATTAGAAAGATCCAATCAGTCAGCATATTCAATCCAATGCAACTCTTATCAGAGAAGGTTGCTAATATTCAGGAAAACAAAAACAAACCACACTTTCACTTACTTCACTCCCTGTTTTTAAGTACATCAGCTACAACTGAAGATATTGCTAAAAACTTTCCAAATAAATACTCAAAGGCTACTCTTTTCACTAAATTAATAAAAAGATTTTTAATTCTAGTTGTCAGTTGAAAAGGAACAAGACACGAAGTACACTTCTTGTTTAAACTTAGTTCCTTGAACCCATCTGTGCCATTCTTTCAAGGGAACATTATATTTACCTGTATTTTGTGAACTAGAACAAAAGGTAACAAAAAGAAATTATGTGTCAGAAGAAGAAATTTTCCTGTAGTTTAGAAAATCTTAATCCCTACCCTTCATTATCATAGCCCTCTGACCCCTGCACAATCATTGCATGCTGTGTAAGTCCCACTCATTATGGAGGCTTTTAAATCAGTTGATTAAAGCAACAGGAATCATTCCTCCCTGTTTTTGAAGGGGTAGAGTTAATCTGGGTTTCTAGAAGCTGGTAAGGAGCAGAGCAAAGGAAAAAGTCCTCATATGAGAATTACTGCAGAGCACAGAGATGTTATGTAGGACAGGCAAAAGAGACTGAAGCAGAGAAAGCAGAGGCAGGCCTCAGCACCAGAATACCCACAGAATCATAAAATAATTCAGGTGGGAAAAGACCTCAGGACCCCTCACTCAAAGCAGAGCAAGCCTAAGAGGCTCTGCCCAGAAAGCCTATTCTCTTTAACAGGGATTCTTCACCCAAGATTTTTCCTTTCCCACCAGTTACTTTACATCTTTAGGAGCAGAACTAGTAAGACCAACAGCTTCAATCTTGCCAACTAAGAGCAGGTTGCACATTGCCAGCTAAAACACTGACGCTGCATCTGGTTCTGTCTCCTGCTGCCAGCATATCCCACCACACAGAGCAAAGAGCAGGAGACACACGTACTTCTAGATCAAAAACCTGCACAAAGGCCATGGAGTAAACGAACACTACTGGGAAATGCAGAGATTTCCTTTAATATTAGTGAACAAAACATCTAACACAGTCAGGCCCTGCAACACTGTGACTTTCTACTACTTATTTTTATTATCGAAAAACAAACAAAAAAGAAAAAAAAAAAAACAACCCTAAATAAAAATAAAGGAAAAAGAAAGCCCCCCCAAACCCAACCATCCAAACAAAAAAACACCAAACAACCCAGTTGACCAAAAAAATCCCACATCCCTCACCATAAACTCCCAATCCCTGACTACAGATCACATACAAGCACATCTGAAAGAAGGGACATTTTAGAAGATGCATTTGTTAGGACAGAACTCACAGCTGTTAAGTGTCAGAGCAAGACTTAGCTGCCCTACAGTCACAGGTTAACAGCTGGGACATCAAAGTACCTGGAATTGATGTTTTAACAGTATATTAATTTTGCTTTCCTCCACTCCATGTTTAAATTGACTGAAGTTTCTGTTTGACCTGAAACCACCAGGCTGACCTGGATAATAGTGGGAGGAAAAAAATAATCCTTTCTCTCATTCACTGTCCAAAATTACTGCCTTATTATTGCAAAACCCAGTTAAACCAAAGGAAAAAAGCTCCCTCCCCCATGTCTGGTGACGTATCCCCAAGCAGCAAATCAAGTGACAGCAGCTGCAGACACTTAAGTCAAAGACAACAATGCGTGTCAGGCAGCAGTAATTTCTCCTAGTCATGAGGACAGATTTATGTCCCAAAGTGCTGCAGCTGGAATGCTATCCATTTAGTCTTCTGATGTAATCCTGTCAAGAGCTGCTGGGTGGTAGTATGGGCTCTGTGCTGCTCTCCCACTACAAATGTTGGCAAGTAATACTTGGCAATCCTTAGCATAACTGTACTATAACATGAAACAGAAAAGATTTGAACACTTTTATTCTTATTTCTTCTTCTCCATTTGCCAAAAAAAAATACTAGGAGGAAAATCACACATATATAAATATGCATAATATCTGCATACATAAAATGCTGTCAAACAAGATAAAAGCCAAAACTGATTTGCTTTAAGCATAATGGTAACCTATTCAAGAGCTTTACTGTACCAAACATGAACAGAAGGACTAAAGCAACTAATTTATTATTCAGAAGAGGTCAAAAAAGCAAAAGCTGCTTTCTAACAAGGAAATTGAAAAAAAAAGTAAGAAGGTTCAAATCCACATTAACTTATTCTTGTTTTTATCATTATTATTGTTGTATTTTATTGCCTGTAAATCCATACCAGATCAGACTGTGACTGGAAATATATTCACTACAGTAATCCCTGGAGTGAAAATCTCCCCCAGTTTACTTAAAACAGTGGGTGTAAACTCTTCCCCTTCAGATGAGTAATAGTGTCACAAGCACTGTGAGATTCTATACAGCTCACCATAACTATGTTTTCAATCAGGTCTCCTATCAACTTTGTCAGACTGGGCAAACTTTCTCCTCTGAATAACCACTCAAAAAAAACCTTCCCTGAAAGCAATAACAAAATAACAAACAAACAAATCATAAACCCACCTCTCAGCACTCAGTCAGGCAGAAAGAGCCATCTGATTCACCTTCCAGAAGATGCGTGTCAGTATTTCCTTTATTAAGAGTAGCTTCACAGCTCTGAGCTGTCTGAGGGCTTCCCAGGTAACTGTTCCCATATATCTTAAAATTTACTAACTCTTAGCTTCAGTGCCAACATTTCATTTCTTCTGTACTTGCTAACAGCTATAATTATCCCTGTCTAGGAACATTCAAGTTTTAGTACCTCTTTCAAAAAGAAGCTTTCATTCAAAAAGGCTTGAAAACCTCATATGAGTATGATTGTTAGTTCTATTATAACATACCTACTGTAAATGTCTAAACTCTAAACTTCTATTCGCAACCCCATTATGGAAGATTTCTCCTGTTCTCTTAGGAAAAAGAGCTCCTACTCTGCAAGACTTTGTGCCATCTTCTCACAAGTTACTTTTACATTAGCAAGCTTATCTTCCAAGCCTACATGCAGTAGGTCAGACAAAATCAGACAATGTACCAGCAGTCTTTTGAGGAACTATAAGGTTCTGATTACAGGAGTTTTCTATTCATGGTACAGATAATAAACATTTGCTTCATGCCAGAGGTATGAATATGTTGTTCTCATACCCCTTTATGCCATCCTCCCAAAGCACAAGCTTGCCAACGTTACATGGAGGCTCTGTTCACAAGTCTGTGAGTAATTCCAGCTACATTCCTTGCATGCCCAGTGGAGCTCTCCAGATCACAATCTTAAGCATTCCCATGCCATGTGGTGAAGATATAATGTGAGAGCTTCGTGCTGTCAGCTGTCCCCCATGGGCATGTAGAACAGGCATTTGCATGTGACAAGCAAAGTGTCTCCAAGTATCTCAAGTAGCCAGGCTACCCAGGATCTGATGCTGTACCTGCCACATAGATGCAATCAGAGGAGTGGTGGCATGCTGAGGTTTTGTAACTGCAGGGTAGAGAGAGCTTTCACACAGAGTCTGACGTTTGGGGCAGGACAACAGTAAATTTCTCTCTGCCAAATCCTGTCAAGTTTCAAGTGGGTCCTACCTTTCAAAATGAATCACAGCTATCAGGGAATCCCCAGAGAGCCTCGGAAAGCTGTTCAATTTCAAAATTCATGTCTCAATTTGCTGCATTAGTCAGGGATATTTTTAAAAAACTGTGGCTTATCTCTTAATAGAATGCAAGTTTATCATAGTGAAGTGTGAACTGCTACAACTCCTACAACTCCTGCTCTATACAAGCCCTTCCTTTTTGTATCCCTTATGCATGATAATATTTTCTATCATGTAGATCTAGTAATAGTAACTTGAGGCATGAGTAACTTCAAGCTAACGAAACTCCATAAATAGAAATGCACGGATCAAAAGTAAGTGAAACTTGCATTTGAGCTTCCACAATCAGAGAGCTCAATAAGGATTTAGGGAACACTCACAGGAGTTCTGCCTAGCAGGCTGTTAAAACTCAAAGGCAAAAGAAAAGGAGTAAGGCTCAGTTACCAAACAAACTGACAACTGCAAAACCATAGCCCTAGCTAAAATGTTAGAGGTACAAGATCAAAAAATCACAAGCTCCCCCCTCTCCCACCCTCAAAAATTAAATACAAGGTGAGATTCTGGTTTTCTCCTTTAATATAAATGAACTAAAGTGCAAGCTTCACTTTGCTTTTTTACAGTCGAAAAATACCACTTAAGACCTAACTATATTATTATATTAAATACAAATTTAAGCAAGAATTTGCATACACAAAGGCATGATTTGCACATGCTGCCAGAGGAAGAAAACAAACAAAAAAAACCCCAAACACCAAAGTAAACCAAAACCAAACCAAACAAACAAAAAACCCACAAACAAAACAAAACAAAAAAGGCATAATCTTTCAGATACCTCTATGTGAGTTACATTTTAAAGGTAACAAACAAAAAAGAAAAAAAAGAGATCTTACCACACTGAAATAAACTGATTCTTTCCGGATAACCCTTCTCTGAACTGAAAGAAAATACGAAAGATCTACCCTTGAAACAGATACTTTAGCACAGAACTGTTTGTTACTTGATTTAGTGGCTATAATGATTAAGCACACACTATTCTGGAAGCATCCAAGAAGAATTATGCTAACTGGCACGAAGCAGAAAAACAAAAGACCTTTC